TTAGAGTGCCCTGCAAGAGTCAGTGGTCGAACGACGGAGTTGAGATAAAGATATCCACTCTATTTTGCTGTCTAATTAGATTTACTGAGTCTTCTGCGGGATTTTAGGAAAAAGAAATTGAATCTAAAGTAGAATCTGAGCAAAAGAAGTAAGATTGATTTGGATTGGAGAATGGTTAGATTGAAAATAGTTAGCTTGAAAGGTGTTTAAACGTTTAAAGTGTCAACAAGGGATTTGTTTTCGTTATTATTATTGATTTAATGATTATGTGGAAAGGTGTTTAAACGTTTAAACGTTCAATGTGTCAACAAGAAATGTGTTTGGGCACTTGATTCAATGTTTAAGTATAAGATATTGATCGGCTGGAGACACAGCAAAAGTTGTTTGCTTGAAATGAGCAAGAAAATGGGAAATGAACAGATTCAAAGGTGATTGCTGAAGAATAAAGCGCATAAACTGTATGTTTTGTTTAAAAATAAACCATCATGTATGTTTTGCTTTGGGTTTTGGCTTATTTTGGAGATGATCGACAATGAGCATTCATCCAAGACGGTGCTCAATCACACAAAGGAAACACAAGCTAAGGAAACACAAGATTCGATTGCTCGATCAAATCAGTGTTGATATGAGGATCAAGGAGATCAAGGAGAGCAAGGAGATCAAGGAGAGCAAGGAGAGCAAGGAGATCAAGGAGATCAAGGAGAGCAAGGAGATCAAGGAGATCAAGGAGAGCAAGGAGATCAAGGAGATCAAGGAGATTGACCTTTAGCCTTTAGCCCAATGGCATGGTTTGCAATTACGTTTCTGGGGCATAGATTTCATTGTGCTCGAGTCTCTTTACTGCTCACATCTACATACTTTGACATCTACTTTGGCATCTACTTTGGCATCTACTTTGACATCTACTTTGGCATCTACTTTGGCATCTACTTTGACATCTACTTTGACATAAAACCCCAGCATAGTGAGGACATTTTAGGTTTACGCGAAGAAGTTTTTTAAAGCTTAGTTTTAAAGTTTTAAAGCTCATCATTCAAAATACCGGATAAATCGAAAGAGAAAGGAAGAGAAAGAAAGGAAAAGAGAAAGATAGAGAGAGAGAAAGATAGAGGAGAGAAAGAGAAAGAGCAATAGAAAGAGCAAGAAAGAGAAAGGAAAGTTTTAGATTGATTTAGGATAGAAAAGATTTAGAACAGTAGCTGAATTGTTAAGAAAAAGGAGAAGGAAAAGGTAGAAATCTTGAAGAAATGCTTTAAGCCATTTACAGTTGAAAATCAAGCTTTTCAACTCAAATTAGCTCAACTCAAAAAAGCGAATGGCTCAAGAATGGTTCGTGAATGGCTCTTGACTGGTGTATCTATCAGAAAATCGAGAGATTGAGAGCTTTCCTTCCGGCTCACTAAAATCGAGAGAAAGGAATGCTCGTTTATTGGTGGTACAGTCAAAACATTGACCATAGATGGAAAGAGTTTTGATGATGACGGAACGATCTCTTGCACTGTCCTCACAACTCAACTAGGAAAACACCTTTTATGACCTCGAAAAACTTGATCTCTTACTTTTTCTCATTTTGGTTGAAAGATGCAAGCATCTGGATCGTTTTGGGGTTATTTTTAGAAATAGAGACGTTCACAGTTAATGAACAAAACGGCTTCAATGGGGTTATCGAACATTTGGTACGCGCCCGGCTCTTTTTCCATTGTTAATCCAACTTTGAGCTCAAATATCTAAGTGTCAGGCTGTACAATTTAAACATTTTTGGTATTATTAGATGCACCAAGTCTTTCTCTGTCGATTGGTAGAAAAACTATTAAAATTGAAAAGCCCAACACCAAGAAAATCGAGCTCAAAGTTGGATTGCCAGCTTGGCCGGGGTGATTCGATCCCGTTCCCTGGTCAACGATCGCTTAAGAGCCTCCAAACCAAAATCCAAACCAAACAAAAACTACTAGTCTAGACTTGTTGAAAGTACGAATTTGGTGGTTGATCTAGTGAATTTCTTTGGTATCAAATTTCTTCAAGTTATCAAGTTTCCTCTTTTTTGGGGAGTAGAGAGTGAGATTTTGAGATCAACGATTCACTGAGTAATGCATGAAAAAAGAGAGAGACGTCAAGAAATCAAAAGGGGAAATCAAAAGGGCTAATTTCAGAGGGAAACTTTGAAAGAAGTTAACCTGGAATTTCGAAAGGAAATGGATTTAAGTAAAATTTGAAATTTGGAGGATTTGAGTGAAAGGAAATAGATCAAAATTTTTGAATTTGAGCAATTAAAGCAATCATTAATTAAATGCTTAAAAAGCAAATAGCAATTAGCAATTAGCAAATAGAATTTGAGCTATTTGAGCTATTTGAGCTATTTTTTGATGAAATTGAAGCCATGATCTTTTGAACAATGAAAAGAAAAAGGAGAAATTCGTTTTTAAATCAAATGAAACACTGAATGCGTTCAAAATCGTTAAAAAAACAAAAGAAACACGTAAAAATGATGTGAAAAAAGAGGCGAAATTCCGGAAATTTGCTCAATTGAATGAATCAACAAAAAATCTCGCAAAATTTTCATCGAACGATCATTGAACAAAGAGAAAAAAGGAGGGAAAGCGGCGGATGATCGCCCAATAATTTGAACTTTTTGTGTGTCAAAAGAAGAGTAAAAGTTTAGCCTTAACATTGGCAAATCTTTTAGAGAAAGGGTACATTAGAAAAAAGGCTCGAAAAACATGACGCACTACAAACTACAAACGTGAACTACAAACGCTTCTAACTTGCTTTAAATCTGTCTCATTCATATGATCAATAGCTCAAAAAATAGAGAATCTCAAGAGCTATCGAATCGACTAAAGCACACTTTTGGGTCCCGGGTTCGAACCCCGCCACTGGGAAACTTTCTCGCTTTTTTGAAAAACAAACGATTACCACTTTTGAAAGCTATTACAGTGCTGATCGACATTAGAAAAAATTATTAATCATTAACATTGTTGTTGTTGGATTGTTGTGATTTGCTGGAAATATATTATTCCTTTTATTTATACTTTGTTTAGGGGATTGTGCGCCAATGTTGTAAAGAGATTTAAATATTAATGAGAATAGTTAATGAGCTTGATTCAGCAGGTAAATACTGGACTCCAGGATGTTTGTAAGCTTTTGTAATTCACAATTCACAATTCACATTCACAAATTTTCTAATCGCTCAAGTGTAACATTGCAGGATTGCTTTTTCTTCTAGAAATGAAAGTGTTTACGAATTCCAACAAGACATGAACACTATAAACTCGAAAAATGACGAACTTTTACACTACAAACGCTTCTAACTTGCTTTAAATCTGTCTGATTCACATGACCTATAGCTCAAAAAATAGAGAATCTCAAGAGCTATCGGATGGACTAAAGTATACTCAAAAATATCAATTCTAAAGAAAGTTACAGTGATTTATAGTCTTGACTCAATTACGAGTACGGTCCGGACTTTAAACCACTGTAACTTTCTTAAGCATTGATATTATAAAAAAGGAGGGAAAGCTGCGGGTGATCGCTCAATTATTTGAACTTTTTGTGTGACAAAAGAAGAGGAAAAGTTTAGCCTTAAAATGGCAAATCTGTTAGAAAAAGGTACATTAGAAAAAAGGGTCGAAAAACATGGCGCACTACAACCTACAAACGTGAACTACAAACACTTCTAACTTGCTTTAAATCTGTCTGATTCATATGATCAATAGCTCAAAAAATAGAGAATCTCAAGAGCTATCGAATCGACTAAAGCACACTCAAAAATATCAATTCTCAAGAAAGTTACAATGGTTTATAGTCTGGACCGTACTAGCAATCGAGTCAAGACTACTGAAAATTGGGTACTTGTCGGTTATACATCCATAAAGACTCATCTCGGTTAAGCATCCCCATCCGAGTCTTCTCGGTGATCGATCTTCGTTTCACTGATCGACTGAGCACTTCAGAACTCGTCAGCTCTATCTGATTCACATGATCTATAGCTCAAAAAAATAGAGAATCTCAAGAGCTATCGAATCGACTAAAGCACACTCAAAAATATCAATGCTAAAGAAAGTTACAGTGGTTTATAGTCTGGACCGTACTCGCAATCGAGTCAAGACTATAAACCACTGTAACTTTCTTTAGAATTGATATTTTTACTGTGCTTTAGTCCATTCGAGCACTTCAGACGAGCACTCTACTTCACCGAACACAGTCATCCCACACAAGTTGTCACAATCACAGTTGCCAGCTCCTTGCTTAACCGAGATGAGTCTTTATGGATGTATAACCGACAAGTACCCAATTTGCAATCAATAAATTAATCAATTCCGGGAAAAAAAATCAGAAAAGAGAAGAGAAACATCAGTTTTTTACAAGGAACAATAAAAATGAATGAGCAAGAAATAGAAAATGGAGGGTAACAAAAATTGGGCTAGCAAAAGGGTAGCTCAAATTTTGGCTATAAAGTTGGTTGTATCCTAACCATTTTCAATCAATCCTGATCTTTTTATTTTATTTTATGAGACTCTACGTCATTTCCTTAGCTTTAGCTTGATACTTTTTTTATAAAAAATTTGTGGAAAACCTTTTGGCTATTCACCAATAGCCTAGCGGCTCTCAAAATCTCATAAAATAAAATAAAAAGATCTCATAAAAACCGATAAACTCAAATAAACAATGAAAATAAAAAAAGCTTTACAAAATCATCTAATTTAACATTTAAGCTCTTTGGACTGAACAATTCTGCACAAATATTATAGCTCTTGAAAATTCAAAGCACCTGAGCCTGCTCGCCAGCAGCCTCTGCTCATTATTTTCAAACAATTATCGAACTGTTGAAAGTTTTTTAGCTATATCGAGGCTTTTTAAACTCTTCTATACAAAAAAATGAGTGATTTTAAAGAGTTTAAAGCAAAAAAAATGCAATTTTAAAAGTCTATATCCATGCATTTTCAGTTTATCAGTTGTAAATCGTGAATCATTTAAAGTTTTTGGTTTTCAAAAAAGACTCACTCATCATCTCCACTCATCGCCTCGTTTTGTCCACTATTCGACGCCGTTTCGAAGCCACTCGGATGAGAATCCTGAAGATTTTAGTTTAAAGGAGGAATCAGAATTGAAACTGATTCTCACTAATCTCAAATTATCAGCAGATAGGTGTAGTAATATTTTTTAGGTTTTATGTAGCTCCACTTTCTGCTCCACTTGCTGCCTTGCTGCCCCACTTTGTGCTCCACTTTATGCCCCACTTTGTGCCCCACTTTATGCTCCACTTTATGCCTCACTTGCCGCCCCACTTTCTGATTCACTTGCTGCCCCACTTCTGCATCACTTTCTGCTCCACTTGCTGCCTTGCTGCCCCACTTTATGCTTCACTTTCTGCTTCACTTTCTGCTTCACTTTATGCCCCACTTTCTGATTCACTTGCTGCCCCACTTTGTGCCTCACTTTCTGCCCTACTTTCTGTCCCACTTCTGCCCTACTTTGTGCCCCCCGTCTGCCCCCCTTGTGCCCTTTCTGCTTACTTTCTGCCCGACATGTCTGTTAAATTAACTACTAAACCCACCTGCTGATCGTTTGATTTTGGTCAAAATCGATCAAAATTCAGAGCTTCCTCTAGAAATTAAATTTTCTATATTACCTTTTGTGAATGATGAGAATCAGTGTCATTCTCCGTATTCACCACCTAAAAATTTCCCGGTTTTGTTGAAGTCTTTGAAAAGAAACTTGTCGAATGATCTCAAAGGTTTGTCCAGTTGGTGAGCTCATCAGTGGATCGTCTCGGATCTGAAATTGAAGAGGAGAATTTGAATGGATTTCAAGTAAAACGGTGTTTACGGTGTAACTAATCGTTTAATATTTGAATATCAAATTTTGAAGCTAATTTGAAGCGAATTTGAAGCGAATTTGAAGCTAATTTGAAGCAAAACTTGAATCTTACAGGAAATTCATTCACCATGGTCATCCCGGGCGCCGGGCGAACCGAGGTCACGACGATTGTCGATGAGGCGTTATCGAGAGGCTGAAAGAGTTTTTATCGTATTCTTTCTTTTGATTTCTGATTAGTCTTACTTTTCATAGCAAATTCTGAATCTAGTCTTTTCTATATTATACAACTTTACAAAGAAAAGCTAAAAGAAAAGTAATTTGACTTACTGTCATTCTTACTGTACATTTACTGTACTCTAACTTTCCAAATTTCTCTTGTAATGGTTTAAAATCGAAAAATGCAATTTATCTATTCTAATTCTATTAAATTATATCAGTTTTGTATATCTAAGGAACGTATCTGTCTTTGGATTTGGCTTTGGCTTTGGATTTGGCTTTGGATTTGGCTTTAGCTTTGGCTTTAGCTGTGGCTTTAGCTTTGGCTTTGGCTTTAGCTTTGGCTTTAGCTTTGGCTTTAGCTTTAGCTTTGGCTTTGGCTTTAGCTTTGGCCAACCCCCGTAAGTGGTGATCAACTCCAAGAGATCATGGGATTGTTCCCATGGAAACGTATAACGATTTTGTAAAGTGGTTACAAATGTTCATAATAATAGTAAAAGTATTCTAAAAAAGAGTGCTTTTCAAGCAAAAAAGGGTGCTTTTCAAAGAGCAAATTGTTTTATTAGTAGAAAACTCACAATAGCGTGACTGGTGATCGCTTGTGTCGGTCGCTGCTCGATGATTGCTTTGATGTGCCCGGGCGGTTCTGCAAGAAAAAACGATTTGAAATTCCTGTTTGAAAAGTGAAAATCGCATAGTCTTTGGCTAATGAGTCACTTTATTTCACTTTATTTCACTCTCCCTCTCTCTCTTTAAGATCATTTTGAGACCTGTTGTCATTTCGTGGAATCGTGACGTCATCGCTCTCAAAAAGAGCAAAATTTGCATAAGAATGATGGTGAATGACGAAAAGGATAAGGTGATCTTTAAAGAGCGGATATATTTAGGCTTGAATGGTAAGAATTTGAGTATCCAAGGGTATTTATGAGTCTAGTAATGTGATTGACTAGTTCACTGCAAAAGATACTCAGTGATTAGGCTAGGCCAGTTAAACACTTTGTGCCTCACTTCTGCCTTACTTTCTGCCCCACTTCTGCCCCACTTTCTGCCCCACTTCTGCCCCCTTTGTGCCCCCTGTCTGCCCCACTTCTGTCCTACTTTCTGCCCCCGTCTGCCCCCCTTTGTGCCCCACTTTCTGCCCCACATTATAATAATATTCACACGAATAATGTGGTACAAACAATACACAAGCACAACCTCTAGCACTCAACCTACAGAAGCCCTAAATGTAGAGAAAAACCCATATATATGAAACCAATAATCTAGCAAGATTGAATCCTTGACCCCCCGACTAAGATACAGGCCTCTTAGCCAGTCGGCCATGGCAACTGCTAGGCTAATTAGCTGAAAACCTAGAAAACCTATCAATCAGCTTGTTTCAAAAGTAATTCTTTCGGGCTAGACCAAAATCCGGGCTTTGATCTAGTGAAGGCTTGATCTACAACAATTCTTAGACCTGGCTTCTGTCCTTGCCTTGTCTGGCCTAGTCTGGATCCCATAACATTCCAGAATCAATTATCAATATGTTTCCAGTTCTCAATCAAGCGCTAAACTTCAATTCCCTACCTCTAGCCATAATTCTCTTCGCCGTTCCCGAGAAACCAACAATCGGCGAGTCGGCGATTTGTGGGGGTGGATTCTCCTCATCCGGATAATCACAACACCTCCATCGACCCCGGGTGTAAATAGCTGGCACTTGGACTTTCTAAATAAGATATTGAATGAGATATTCAGCGACATTTGCATAATCTTTTGAATTCTCACCGTGAATCTCCGCTCTTTACACGGGAGATTCGCATTGGCGGCAGCTACAAGCTCAACGGTCACCGTTCCAACATCGGTGACTCCCATTGTTCACTGAAGTTTAGAAGTTACTTTAGATTTGAAACATTTAACAAATATAGAAAATTGAAAGAAGCTTTTACAAGAAAGAAAGAAAGGAAGCTTTTACAAGAAAGAAAGGAAGCTTTTACAAAAAAGAAACGGAGCTTTTACAAGAAAGAAAGAAAGGAAGCTTCTGCAAGAAAGAAAGGAAGTTTTTACAAGAAAGAAAGAAAGAAAGTTTTTACAAGAAAGAAATGAAGCTTTTACAAGAAAGAAAGGAAGCCTTACAAGAAAGAAAGGAAGCTTCTACAAGAAAGGAAAGAAGCTTCTACAAGAAAGAAAGGAAGCCTTACAAGAACGAAAGGAAGCTTCTACAAGAAAGAAAGGAAGCTTCTGCAAGAAAGAAAGGAAGCTTTTACAAGAAAGAAAGAAAGGAAGCTTCTACAAGAAAGAAAGGAAGCTTTTACAAAAAAAACAAACAAATATTACATTCTAAAAAAAGTAAGTCAACACGAGGCCTTTTTCCGAAATGAATACGCTCAATTTCTAAATATGGCTTTAGTCGAGGGAATGTTGGTGAGAGAGAAGGGAATTCAGAGGGTTCAGGGAGTGAAAGGAGCTGAAAAAGAGGGGCAAAGAGAGTGGGTGTGATGACCGAGGAGAGAGCATTCGATGGGTAACTTGCAGATGAAATTTGGATGCTTATTTTGATAGCTATGACACATGCAATTGAAGACCAGGGATAGTACAATAGAAAAATGAAAACATGATAAAACGGAATCAGAGAATCCTAATCCGACCCGAACTTTTTCGAATGTTTAGCTAAGGAAACGGGTATTACAGATGGATATGGGGATAAGCAATCGACTAAGAAGCAACTAAGCAACTAAGAAGCACATTTATCCAAAATATTCTTGCCTGCAACAAGAAAATAGCTCGCAAAAAGTTTGGTAACGTAGTCTTTGTTGCGAAAAGTTTAAAGAATACCTGCAAATTTTGAACGCTTGATGATTGTTTTTCATTAAATCAATTCATAAAGCTTTAAACAAATCATTTTTATTCAAATACTTTTCAATCAAATCATCGATTTTACATCTATTTCCACAAATTTTGAGTCGAATCCGGAGTCAAAGTTTAGTTCTAGGTTCAATTGTCAAGAATATAAGCCGGTGCTTGTATATAAGCCGACGCTTGTATATAAGTCGACGCTCTATATAAGCTGGCACTCGTATATAAGCCAGCGCTTGTATATAAGCCGGTACTCGTATATAAGCCAACGCTCGTATATAAGCCAGCGCTCGTATATAAGCCGGCGCTCGTATATAAGACAGCGCTCGTATATAAGCCAGCGCTCGTATATAAGCCAGCGCTCGTATATAAGCCAGCGCTCGTATATAAGCCAGCGCTCGTATATAAGCCAGCGCTCGTATATAAGCCGGCACCCGTATATAAGCCAGCGCTCGAATAGAAGCCGGCGCTCGTATATAAGCCGGTGCTCGTATATAAGCCGGCACTCGTATATAAGCCAGCGTTTGTATATAAGCCAGCGCTTGTATATAAGCTGGCGCTCGTAGATAAGCCGGCGCTCGTATATAAGCTGGCACTCGTATATAAGCCAGCGTTTGTATATAAGTTGCCGCTCGTATAAAGACCAATATCTTCAAAAAAAGACTAAGTCAGCTAAGGTACCAGTAAAAGGGAAATTTAGAAGTTTTTTAGCGATTACTAGATTCATCGCTAGAATAGCCAAGCCAAGCCAATTGATCCAAATGCTAAGCTAGAGGAAAACAAGTGTGGGGTGAAATAAGCTAGATCGAAATGGGGGACATCTATTTCCCCGTCTCATTTCCCTCTTTTTCTTTTCTCTTTTCTTCTTTGTTATTGCCGTCTCGTGGTTGTGGTAAACACTCGTTTGGCAAAAGGGAAAAGAAAAAAAAGAAACGTCTTGTTTCTTTTTCTTCTCTCAAAATCCTCCATTCTTTCAGCTTATGATGAAACAAAAAGGAGGAAAAGAAGAAAAAGAAGAAAACTTTTTGATCAAAATAATAAACCCTCTGGGCCTTGTGAAATCCTGGATTTCTTGTTTTTAGCTTTGTCATTGTCTGAGCTCATTGTCTGAGCTGTTTTTCGAATCGAATCAGTTAGGTGTGGAAAGAAAATGAAAATTTTCTGAATTGAATCGAATTGATCGAATTGAATGGATTCGATTCGAAAAATTAGACCGAATTGACTCGTAAAAACGAGTTCTGTCAGTTCTGTCAGTTCTGTCAGTTCTGTCGAAGTCAAACTGATATTTTAGTTGATCAGTTTGGCTCGAAGCTGACAGGTCTACTAGCTAGCCATTACGCTAATTTCGCTTTTATAATTCTATTGTATTTAGTGCCAAAATCAGGTTTAGGGGTTAACCCATTCGAAACTTCTGCAGCGAATAATCGCTGCAACAAAAACTCAGGAACGGACCGCTGCAGCGATTATTCGCTGCAGCGCTAATTAAGCTATTTTCATTCAATTAATTGGTTTTTTGCTGTTTTTCAGCATTACATGTATATTCTAATTGTAACAGATCTACAAATTACGTGGGCAAAAAAGATGTTTCATATTTACCCGGAATCAATGCGGTCTGCATTGAAATGTTCCATAATAGCTCTAATCTTATAAAGCCGATCTCCTGCAGGATCCAGTTCATTATCACAAAAACGCAGGTTTCGAAGAATAGATTCAAATTTTGCTCTTGACATAATGTGGGACATGTGGGAAAATCCTCCTAATCCAGGCCTGCTACTCCAGTAGTCACGAATCCTCGGTAATTTGATGATTCCCATTTGAAGCCAGGAAGAGCTTGAAAGATTTTGCATCGAAATCCTGCCAGTTTGTTTTCCTTTTTCCATGTTTATTAGACTCGCCTACTAAAATATTGTCGTCGATAAAATAAGAACAATAATCGATAGGATCTTGAAAAGTACTGAAGTCAAATCCAAATCGTTCTTCATCAAAAATAAATGGTGTAGGAGACTCTCTTACATCTTTCCAACCATAAATAAACTGCTTCGGAGTCAAAAATGTCAAAAAAGGGCTTGGTCCGTAGACGAAAAAAAAGAAAAAACGCTGCGGTTTCGAATGGGTTAAAGATAAAGTTAAAGTTAAAGCTACCGAAAGTTAAAGCTACAGAAAGTTAAAGAGATTTCAGTGAAAAGTTAAGAAATTTGTGCCTCTTTTTTTTGACGCAATGTCGCTGTTTTTCAACAAGCTTTTCAACAAGCCTAAAGCATCATTCTTTAGCATCATTCTAAAACCAGTCCACCAACATCAGTAAGTTTCCAGTTACCGTCCTCGTTGCACAAGATATCCATGGATTTTGATGCATACAGCTTATCAATTTAGCTGCGTGGATAGAAATCGCAAGAATTTCATTGATTTTTTTTGACTTTTATCCACGCAAATTTACGGGGGGTAGTCAAAACAGCGCCATAATCGAAAACGTTCAAAACAGCGCTGTCGAAATTTCTAAAAATCCAAAAAACCAAGCTGATTCAAGTTTTATATCAAAAAATTCCTTGCGTTCTTGGCTACATGATGAGTGAAACAGTTTTTGAAAAAAGTTAATATTTCATAGATAAAAAGGGCACTCAAAATGTGTGTCGAGTGATACTCAGTTGGTTAACTGAATATCTTTAGAGACTCATTTTGAGTGCTCTTTTTATCTATGAAATATTAACGTTTTTTAAAAAACTCTTTCACTCATCATGTAGCCAAGGAAGCAAGGAATTTTTGAATATAAAACTTGAACCGGCTTCGTTTTTTGGATCGTGAGAAATTTGACGGCGCTGTTTTGAACATTTTCTATTATGGCGCTGTTATTGTGTCTATTATGGCGCTGTTATTGTGTCTATTATGGCGCTGTTATTGTGTCTATTATGGCGCTGTTATTGTGTCTATTATGGCGCTGTTATTGTGTCTATTATGGCGCTGTTATTGTGTCTATTATGGCGCTGTTTTGACTACGCCCCGATTTTTTCAATCCATTAATGAATTTAGTGCAGGAATTGATGACATTGAAGTGAGAGTTTGGCAATTTCGTCTACCCTATTTGTTCTCGAAGATGGACAACTACCGTAACCTGGTAGTCAGCTTTTATTGCCTCAAATAGCCGGAGTTCCATAGCTGAGTGGTCTTCAGATTCCATAGCTGAGTCGTCTAAGGCGCGTGAGGCCAATCTGAGACTATAATAGGGTACATTTGATTCGGTACATTTGATTTGCTTTCATTCTATCAACTTTAGCTAGCTAGTGGCAATTTTTGAATTCAGCTTCGCCTTCAAAAACATTTTTAGTGCTTTTTGCTAAGGTATGTAGCCTTAGCAAGGAATTTTTGAATATAAAATTCCTTGTAACCAAGGAAGCAAGGAATTTTTGAATATAAAACCTGAACCGGCTTCGTTTTTTGGATCGTGAGAAATTTGACGGCGCTGTTTTGAACGTTTTCTATTATGGCGCTGTTTTGAACGTTTTCTATTATGGCGCTGTTTTGACCTATTATGGCGCTGTTTTGACCCCCAAATTTACAAATTTCAGAGCTAAACTCTTTTTTGCAATTCTAAAAGTAAAAGATAAGCAAATTTTCGTTTGCATTTCTTTGCGTGGAAAGAAAAAAAATCCACAAGTAATAAAGGTAATTTTAGTAAAAGCAAAACCAGCTCGAGAAAAGATAAAAAAGATAAAAAAAGGAATAAAACGTCGCAAAATTCGTTAAATTCTTTCAAATTTCACCATTCACATTGTTTTTTTGTTGAAAAGGACAAGTCTGATGAAGGGAAAAACGTCAAATTGTGGAGCTAGGGAACCAAATTTAGAGAGATAAGGAACCAGATCTAGAGAGGTAAGGAACCAGATCTAGAGAGGTAAGAAACCAGATTCAGAGAGGTAAGGAACCAGATCTAGAGAGGTAAGGAACCAAATTTAGAGAGGTAAGGAACCAGATTGATTTAGAGAGATAAGGAACCAGATTTAGAGAGATAAGGAACCAAGTTT